GTGAATGATCATTAAGGAGGGGGGGGGGGGAGGAACAACAAAAAACAAAACCCAACCAACAACAACAACCTCTCCTTTACTGTTCTGGCACCCACTGGATCCAACTGCCTTATGTTCCATGTTACTTTAGGCTATGAAGCCCATCGCTTGGAATCTAACTAACAGAACAGTGACTTATGGAAATTAATACCAGTTCTATGAATTTGAGAAGTTGTGGCAGTCTGGTGAAGTTCCCACTGACTGGAAAAGGGCAAACATAACCCCCATTTTAAAAAACGGGAAAAAAGGAAGACACGGGGAACTACAGGCCAGTCAGTCTCACCTCTGTGCCCAGCAAGATCATGGAGCAGATCCTCCTCAAAACTAGGATAAGGCACATGGAAAATAAAGAGATGATTGGTGACAGCCAACATGGCTTCACTAAGGGCAAGTCATGCCTGACAAATTTGGTGGCCTTCTATGATGGGGTTACAGCACTGGTGGATAAGGGAAGAGCAACTGACGTCATCCACCTGGACTTGAGCATAGCATTTGACACTGTCCCACATGACATCCTTGTCTCTAAGTTGGAGAGACATGGATTTCACGGGTAGACCACTCGGTGGATAAGGAATTGGCTGGATGGTCACACTCAAAGAGTTGTCGACAGCTCGATGTCCGAGTAGAGACCAGTAATGAGTGGTGTTCCTCAGGCGTCGGTACTGGAACCAGTGCTGTTTAACATCTTTGTCGGCGACATGGACAGTGGGATTGAGTGCACCCTCAGCGAGTTTGCCGATGACACCAAGCTGTGTGGTGTGGTCAATACACTGGAGGGAAGGGGTGCCATCCAGAGGGACCTGGACAGGCTAGAGAGGTGGGCCCGTGCAAACCTCATGAAGTTCAACAGGGCCAAACGCAAGGTCCTGCACATGGGTCACAGCAATCCCAAACATGGATACAGACTGGGTGATGAGTGGATTGAGAGCAGCCCTGCGGAGAAGACTTGGGGGTACTGGTGGATGAAAAACAGACTATGACCTGGCAATGTGTGTTTGCAGCCCAGAAAGACAATCGCATCCTGGGCTGCATCAAGAGAAGTGTGTCAAGGGAGGTGATTCTCCCCCTCTACTCCTCTCTCGTGAGACCCCACCTGCAGTACTGCATCCAGCTCTGGGGCCCCCAGCATAAGAAGGACGTGCACCTGAGCAAGCTGGTCCAGAGGAGGGCCACAAAGATGCTCGGGGGGCTGGAGCACCTCTCCCATAAAGACAGGCTGAGAGAGTTGGGGTTGTTCAGCCTGGAGAAGAGAAGGCTCCAGGCAGACCTTACAGCAGCCTTCCAGTACTTAAAGGGGGCCTACAGGAAAGCCGGAGAGGGACTTTTTACAAGGGCATGTAGTGATAGGACAAGGGGTAATGGCTTTAAACTGAAAGAGGGTAGATTTAGATTAGATGTAAGGAAGATGTTCTTCAATGTGAAGGGCGGTGAG